AGGCGACGGCGATGTAACAGAATCTCGTTGCGGGAATGAGAAGATGATGTGTGAGAGTGAAGGTGTTGGGTACAAATCCATACCTAGATCTCTCGCGATTGTTGCTAATCGGTAAGTATCTGAGATCAATTCTCGTGTAGGAACGAAGAAGAGGAAAGGTGTCTTCTCGGATCTCGATTTGCTTTTTGATTGCTTGTTGTTGTATGAGCTAAGGATTTGCCGTATACTGGTTTCTCCGTCACCGTCGTCTGTATCGCCGGAATTATGAGTGAGATCGAGAGTCTCGTGGAGGAGAAGAGATCGAGCTAGCTTTAATGGAAGCATTTTCTGATCTTTTTCGCTTTCTTCGTCTTCTTCGTTTGGCTGTTTTTGCTTTTTTATTTCCCCTTTAGGGTAGCTTTTACATCGAACCAAAGATAACCGATCGGTTTAATAAATTGAAAAACATACCCGATTTGKGTTCGGTTTAATTGGGTTTGATTCGATATAAATTTGTCCATCACATTGGCAAAATTTTCTCACTTCCCTCTCCTTCCTCAAGCGCCGACTCTGCGTACACCGTAGAGCTTCGATTCTTCTCCCATGGCGGCTTCTGCTACATTAGTATCTATGGTTTGTACTTTCTTATCTTCTTATCTGTGTAATTTCTTCTGTTTTTTTCCAGGGTTCGTCACCCTTCTCAACATGTTTGTGGTTTAGGTTTCGTCAAATTGGGTTTCAATCACTAATTTCTTTCTAGTTCTGTGATTCGGGGTCTGTTTGTTCTTCATGTTGGGAAAATTTTCTGGGTAATGCGTGTTTGAGTTGCTCATAAGTAAAATTGCTCGATTCCATGGTTTGAACACTTATTTATGCATTGTTACTGAATGTTAACTATGAAACAATTGTTGTTGACGACAGGCACATGAAAGAAAAGTTGAGAATCTGAGAGGATTTATGGTGAATTTGGCGAATTCGAGAGGTTTTTCGCTTCCTGAGACTAAGCTCTTCGATCAGAAATTCTTGGATCTGTGTTTGTCCCGTACTCCTGATCACCCCACTTACTCTGCTGTATGTATGAAAATTTATAATCT